TTCTAAATAGAAACTTGGTGACACTGATAAGGAGATTAAAACTACCTACCACCTGCTGTCTGTCTGTCCTCAAGATGTTTGCTCCTTCTCATTATGTGCTTGAATTGGAAAGCTTAATGCTCAGCTAGTACTTCAGGGAAATTGTAATTGATTGCTGTTTCCTATTTTGTAAATGAGAAAGAGCTGAAGGTCAGAGAGATTAATTGAATTGGCCAAAAGACCAAGGCCTCACAATCATCAAGCATCTAAAACCCACATTTTCTTACTTTGATTTTAGTTTAGGTTTTCTTTTCTTTTTTAAAAATAGGAAACCAAGGAAGGCATTACATAAGTTCTAATTTTCTTTGCTTATTTTTCTTTGAGTAGGCCTTACATAGTTCAGGGGCCTCGCACTAGTTAGTTAGGCTCGCCTTGGAGTCCTCAGCCTCCTTCCTCTAGTTCCCTGCTTGGATTACATGCTCTGCTATACCTAGTGCCCGAATTTCTGAACTTTGGGATTTTTTTCCCCATTAACTTTGTTCTTTATTGTTGGAGAGAATGAGTGAAAAATTTTCCTGGAAGAACCTAAGGTAGAAGTTATTACTGAGTCAGAATATACTGAAATTAAACCAAAGTTTTTTTTTTTTAATTTTGAATAATATCAGCTTATTTTTTAAGTTTGAGGATTTTTCAGTGATTTTTTTTTTCCTGTAGTTTTCTACATGACAAGGAATATAAGTATCTTTACTTAGAAGATTTCTTTTCTTTTGTTTGAAAGGGGAAGAGTTAAGCTTGAAACTTACTGAAATGTCAAGTGGTAGATTCAGTCTTGTATGTTCTACATAGCTTTGGTAAAATCATCCATTTGGAGGGCTGCTTATAATTTTTTTCATCTTTTCTTTCCAAGTAAGGGGAATGAATCTTGATGGCTGTGTTTTTACTGAAGTCAGTGTTGAATTTTTACTGAATTTTACTCTGTGTGTGTGTGTGTGTGTGTGTGTGTGTTTTACCCTTAATTTTGAGTAGTGACTGACATGATGAGGAAAGTAAACTGTCTTATCTAGAGGATTGATGATCCTGTACCACACATCACTCCAGACTCAAAAAACATGGACACTGAGCAAATACATGTTTGCTGAAGGAGTGTCAGGGATCAGAGAAAATGTTGACATGTCCCAGTTAGTATGTAGGTTACTGGTTCTGAATTGATACTGATTCCAGGAGACCTCAAGAAGCATTATGGCCCTTCAGTTAAAGCAGGGCTTATTTGAGATCAGGGAATTAATGGAGTTTTGGCTGAAGTCTGATTCACAGATCTAGTGGGTCTCTGAACTCATCCTGTGGTTACCCAACCTCCCCATCCCCAATATATATATATATTTTAGTTGGGATAAATATACATAGAATTTGGAAGAATTCTTGCTCTAGTTCCCTGACCTGTGGAATGAGGGCTGTTATGGTTATGTTTGGAAAGGCTAAATGCCTCTAGAGTGAATCAATACAGTGTTGCATTCCTGGAGCAACTGCAGAAATTAGTGCTACCATTAAGGACTTGAAAGATGCCTGGGTGGAGAATGCCCGTTGATTATCCAAAACTTTATCAAGTAGTGACTCCAATTGAAGCTGCTGTACCAGATGTGGTGTTCTTTCTTGAGCAAATTAACACATCTGGTACACGATATGCAGCTATTGATCTAGGAAATGTTTTTTTTTTCTGTATACCTGTCTGTAAGGACCTCCAGAAGCTATTTGCTTTCAGTTGTCAAGGGCAGTGGTATACCTTTATATTAACTGTATATTAACTCTCTAGCTCTGGGTCATAACTTATGTTTGAATGGCTCTTGATCATCTGTTTCTTCCACAAAGTATTACATTAGTGCACATATTGATGCCATTATGCTGATTGGACAAGTGAGCATGAGGTATCAACCACATTGGACTTGCTGGTAACACAAATGTATGTCAGAGGATGGGAAATAAATCCAAGTAAAATTCAGGAGACTTCTACCTCAGTGTCTTGGTCACTGTTCTATTGCTGTGAAGAGATACCATAACCATAACAACTCCTATAAAAGAAAGTGTTTAATTAGAATTTGCTTACAGTTTCAGAGGTTTTGTTCATTATCATCATGGCAGTGAGCATGATGGCACACAAGCAGACATGGTGCTGGAGAAGTAGCTGGGAGCTCTACATTTGGATCTACAGACAGCAGGAAAAGAGAGACATTGGGTTTGGCATTTGAAACCTCAGAGCCCACCACCATTGGTACACTTCCTCCAAGAAGGCCATACCTACTCCAAAAAACCACACCTCCTAATCTAATCTTTCTCAGATAGTGTCACTCACTGATGACTAAGCATTAAAATATTTGAGTCTATGGAACCATTCTTGTTCAACCAACTTCATTCTGAAAATTCTTAGGGGACCAAAAAATGTGGGACATGTGGGACAGAGATACAATGTTTATTTGGATTCTGGAGAGAGTATATTTCTTACTTGGGTAAGTTACTGTGACCCATATACCAAATGTCTTGGAAAACCACTAGCTTTGCATGGAGCCTGTAACAGGAGAAGGCTCTTTTAAACATGTCCAGGCTGTTGTGTAGACAGCTCTACCACTATATGATCCAGCAGACCTGATGATACTTGAGGTATCAGTGGCAGACAGGGATGCTATTTGGAGCCCATGGAAGGCCTCTATTGTTGAGTCATAGAAGAGACCTTTGAGATTATGAGGCAAGACTCTGCAATCATCTGCATACAACTTATTTTCCCTTTGGGAGACAGCTCTTAACCTGCTATTAGGCTTTAGTGGAAACTGAATGTTTGACAATGGTCCACCAGTTTACCATGCAACCTGAGCTTGTTGTTCTTGCTCTTGCTGCAAGTCTGTTCCTTTACAGGCATTAGAGCCTCCTTTTTAGGGATTCCAGTATGCATTGAAGACCAGCTATGACAACCAGTCTTATGGACTGAATAACTACTGTTCTATCAACTTCTGTTGATAGGCAGCCATTATTGGATTAGCTGGACCACAGCCTGTAAGCCATTCTAATAAATCCCCTTTATACATATATGTATATGTATGTAGACATTCTGTAAGTCTGTTTCTATAGAGAACCCTGATTAATACAGAAGTCTTTGGAGAGACTTAAGCTAGGGGGTAATGTCTGAAATACTGATTAAAAGAGATTGTTTTAATTGTTGTGTGGAATATGTAATTGGTGGTGGTGGTGGTGATGGTGGTGGTGGTGATAGTGAATGTATAATGGAATTTTGGAGGCTGTTGAATTACGTTGTGCAGTTAAGTTTTACATTTGGACAATGATTTAAATAGGAATGGTGGGTTGTATTTAATTTTAGGACATGTTGAGTTGTCATGACTTAGTAATAGATTAGGTGAGAAGAGGATGGGCAGATGATAAATGACTGCAGATACTTTTCACATACACACACACATGCACTCACTCACTCACTCACTCACTCACTCACTCACTCACTCTCTATATTTGGATGACTTTTGACAATCCAATTGGAATAGTGCAGAAGTAAGGGGAAATTTGAATTTAGAGTTCAGGACAGTGCTCTTATTTGTAGATTATACATCAGGAGGTAGTACTATATGAGTGGTATTTTTGAGCCATGAGATTGCTTGGCGAGAGAGCATAGAGAAGTGTAATAGAGGAGGCGACTCTAGAAGGGAGATTGAGAAGGTGTGTCAGTGAACAGGTAAATCCATGTTAATGTGGTTACTATCAACCTCTCCCAAAGAGAATGCTTAGTGAAGAAGTGAACACCAAACCTCAACAAATGCTGCTATTAGAGGAGTAAAATGAATACTTGCTCTTGTGGGAAGAAAAGAAGTGGAAAATGTTTTGCTAGGATAGAGAGCAGAAAACCTAGATGGTAGCTGGAAGGGGATGTGCAGTTCAGGGCAAGATTTTCCTGATCTTTATACAGACATGATCTGATGGAGAGGGACAATTACATGATGTAGAGCAAAAGTTTTTGAGATAATCATGGTTAGCTGCAAATGAGCTCTGTCTGTGGAGAGCAGACAGAGGAGGAAGTATAGAGCTAAGCAGGTTGGCTGATTTTCATGAGGAAAGAAGAAATAGTTAAGTGTATTTATTCCCTTCCCTCTTTTCTAAAGACTATATAGTTAGAACAGTAAGTGAGAGGGGTGGACCAACATTGGGGCAGGATAATTAAGATTTCCACACAATGAGAGTTTATTTTATTTTCTGAGATGTTAATAATTGTCTAGGTTGATCATTCATTCCGAATTCAAAAATCTCAAGTAAGAATGCTTATAAGGAGTGTATGACAGCAGTCATAAGTGGAAAATGCCAGTCTGGCCTCATGGTTGTGATTTGTTGTAGTCAAGACACTAAGTCACTAAGACATTGACTAGATTTACTTTCAAGGTATAAGTGTGTTTGGATTTGAATCTTATATACAAGATATCTCACACAAATATTCCCCCAATTCCTTCAATCAGAAACATTAGTTTTCAAGCATTTTGGAGAAGGGATTCCATCTCCAGTAGGATTTTCTAGTAGTATTGAGTGACTATTTTAGATTGTTGCTATGTAGTTATATTGAATCTAGCCAGCCTGTCTGTGATTTTTTTTCTCCAGTACTATTCAGCTTTTTAGGTGGAGTCATGGAGTAACTGGATAGTTGGAATTATTGAAATCGAGTTTTTCTTGATGAACTAAATGGAGAAAGGGACAGGAGCTGTAGTTCAAGTCTTTTATTTTGTGATGACAGTTAGGTGGTGTGCCAAATGTTTTTAAGTGAACTGGAAAGCAACTTTTTTGGATTTTACCAAAACAAAACAAAACAAAACAAAAACCAAAACAAAACAAAATCAACACTCTTTTACTGTGGGGACAGTATGGATTCAGTTGGTGGTTTATGTATCCTGATTATCTAGTTTTTATAGACGTTTCTTTCAAGTTTGTAATTCTCTTCTCCTCAGAAGTGCTGTAATCTTCATGCCACCTTCTCTTTAAAGGTCTGTCTATGATGGTGAGGAACATGGACGATTCATGGAGAAGCTAGAAACTCGTATCCGCAACCATGACAGAGAAATTGAGAAAATGTGCAACTTTCACTACCAGGGCTTTGTGGACTCTATTACTGAGCTGCTGAAAGTACGAGGAGAAGCCCAGAAACTCAAAGTAAGGATACACTACTGGATATTTGCTCCTCTGTCCTCTTCTGGGATTCTGATTCATATTGAAAGAGTAGGGGCCATCCTGTATGACATGTAGGACAGGCTTCTTTTATTTTCACTTTTCAAATATAGAATCGAGGTGAAGGTACATGAACAGCCCGGCCAAACCACAAAGTTAGTATGAAGTGATCATTACTAAACAAAGTACATGTTCAGTTTAGATCTGATCATATTATTTTCCCAGCTTACAAACCTGCATAGCTCCCGTTGGTTAGGTTCGATAGAACACTGTCCAGCATTCTTAGTATAGTACTTAAGGTCCCATTCATCTGCCTCTGCCATGTCTTCACTCTCATTTCTTGGCTTCTATAATGATGATGATGATGATTGTTTTGAGATAGGGTCTTCCTATGTATCCTAGCCTGGCCTCCAACTTCCTCCTTCCCCAGCTTCTCAAGTACTAGGATCACACATGTGTCTCACTGTATCTTGGGTATAGTAAGATTTTTATGAAGTATGGAAAGGAATTTATAGCAAGACCCATATAAAGAATACTCTTTTAAGTTAGTTTAATACCTACAAGTGGATTGAACCAGTGATCAGTTACTGAGACTCCTCCTGAAGCCACCAGCTTCTTTGCTGGAAACCTCTTCCCCCACAACCCCGTGCCCCCTCCAGGCATTAAAAAGCTGCCATTGCTTACTTACTTGAAAGGCCAAGGTGAAAAGACTTGTGGTGGCTGTGGAGTGCTGCCTATAGCATGATTCATGTTCAGGAAAGAGGCAGGTCACAGCAGATCCCTTCTCTTAGTTGACTTTGCTTGTTGTTCTGAAGACTGTTCTCCTAAATTTCTGTTACGTTAAACAGTTTAGATTTGGGCTGGAGAGATGGCTCAGTGGTTAAGAGCACTGACTGCACTTCCAGAGGTCCTGAGTTCAAATCCCAGCAACCACATGGTGGCTCACAACCATCTGTAATGAGATCTGATGCCCTCTTCTGGTGTGTCTGAAGACAGCTACAGTGTATTCATATATAATAAATAAATAAATCTTTAAAAAAAAAACAAAAAACAAAAAACAGTTTAGATTTTTGCCATTTTCTAAGAGCTCATCTGTTCTGTTATTAATAATAGTTTTATTTTCTTTCTGTAGTCTATATACATTTGTTTTTCTTGTTGAAATCTAAATTAGAATCCTTAATAGAATTTTTTTCTACAAAAATTATGAGGTCATCTCAAAGAATATATTGATTAAAAAAAGCAAAGAAACAATTTTTTTGAAGGGCTAAGCAAGCTATTAGATACCAAATATATTCTAAAACTGCAATAGCTAAAAAAAAAACATCATTTGACTGCAAAACATTACTTAAGTGGACATAAAACCGCTAAACCATTAAACTTTGTAATTTCTTTTATCTAATGTGAACTTTTGTGTTTAACTACAGAAATATTGATGTGTTTGAAATAGAGGTGCTATACTGTTTCCAGCTGTGGGATGTTTTATGACGTATATAAACTGCAATATATTGTATATAAAATATCATTACTTACATAAAGTTTCCAATACTTTGAAATCTTAGACACATTGAGGAACAGAATACTGCCAACATTATCAAATACTTCTCTCTTCTCTGTGTTTCTTAGTTGCTTTCTCCATCTTAGATGTAACAAATCTTCTGATTTGTTGCTAATGTGAAGTTTTTCCTCACTCAGGCCTCATATTTCCCTTACAATCTTGATTATTCTTTTTCTATGCTTCTTTGTCTTGTATGTTGCAAAATTCTCCCACATATTTTTGGGTACCTCTTTGAGGATGCACCAAAGGATATAAAAAATGTAGAATATGGTTTAAGCAAAATGATACAGATTATTGCCTGAAAACTTAATTGCTGACCTTAATTTCTGATTGATACTTACCTTTGTTCTTCTTTCTCTCCTACTTTAAATTGGATCAAGTTGCAAATTCTTTCAGATTGGTCTGAATGCTTCTGAAGGAATACCTGATTGTATTTTTCCACTTTGGTATTTTGGCTGCTTGAGACTCTTAACCATTTACTCTGAGGGTGAGAGGAATGATGTCTAGCTGCCCACCTGGTAACCTCTGCTCTGAAGTACCCATTTGACCTGGGTGAAGAATGCCGAATTTAAAGAATTCTAGAAAGGAATTTAGAAATGGAAAAAGCTTTAAGTATTAATCAGCCACTTATAACACTAAGTAGTACTATAATATTACACTTTTTGTGATACTCATTATTTTGTGTTCACAGCATCTCTGTATGAGTATATATATATATATACAATGTATATATGTGCATGCACTTCCATATCTTTTTTCTTAGCAGTGTCTTTCTAGCCAGTTCTTTTCATTGTAGTATATAGAATAGTTATCAGCTAGAATTAAGATAGTTACTATTTTTCTTACCGTTGACATAGAGTAGGCTTTTATGGATTTGTTTTTGATGACGGTTTGCATGAAATCAGTTTGCTAGACACTGATCAGTATTTCTTAGAAAACTTGAAATTAAGCAGAAGAGAATTAAATAGAAATTAAAATGTATTATGTCTAGTAAAGATAAACATTGTTTCTTGAAAATTGTCTGTGTATATATGTGTGTCTCTCTGTGTGTCTTTGTGTGTGTATGTGTGTGTGACTTTGTTTCTGTCTCTGTGTCTCAGTGTTCGTTTCATATGTCTGTATGTGTCTGTGCCTCTCAGTGTGTCTGTTGTGTTTCTCTCTGTGTATCTGTCTGTGTCCCTATGTGTCTGTAGTTTCTCTGTGTTTATATCTATGTGTATATGTCTATATTCATGAGTCTTAATGTAAAGTATGTGTCTATAAGTTTGAGGTTAGAAACTTTGAGAAATGATGCAATAAACAAGGCTGAACAATAGTGTTGAATATAGTTGTATTGGAGGTTTTAATTTTGGGAGAACTCCAGAATAGGATAAAAACATCCAGTTTGTTGAAACCACACCATTTTTTTATTCGTATGAGTTTCTTCTTACTTTGAGCTGAATCCTATTTTTAGTGAGAGGCATTCATTGGAAGGAGCCTTTCTTCTGTTAGCTCTTCAAGGGTTTTGAGATAACCATTGTTTAGGTGTGGGATGAAATGTGCAGGGTCCAGGTATAGTTATGTAGGGTCTCCAAATCACTGTTCCTTTATCTATGGGCTAAAGATAACTTCATTTGTTTTTCATGTGGTATACATTTGGCTCCTATTTTTATTTTTTTTTTACATTTTTATCATGCTGCAGTGTGTCAGTGGCCTTCGTGATACACGACATCTGAATGTCATTCTCATTAGTTAATCTTGTCACCCTACCTAATCTTCTTTTATTTTAGAGTGGCCATAACAACTTCTGGCTTGTAGGCCAAATCCAGTTTGCCCCTATTGTTGTAAATAAAATTTTATTGAGACCTAGACACACCAGCACATAACATTTTATTTATGGGTACAATTCTGTCAGTGTTGGCTAGTTACTGCAGAGAATTTGTGGCCTGAAAACCTGAAAATATTTACTGTCTTACTGTAATGGAAACAGATTGCTGGCTCTAGTTTTAGGTGATGCTTTCTTGCCTCTCACTGAGCTCATAGTCTATTGGTTAATGGTGTTTTTCACATCTAATGCTCCTAGGGTCATAAGTATCTATTGCTTCTTTTCCTCAGATTTTATAAAATATTTTCTGGAAGAGGTCAGATTTTATTTTATCTTTGGAAGCAGCGGTGCAGTCTCTAATCTGTCACGAACTATATTATCCAGTTACTATGTATAATTTGAAATAAAAATTTTAAAATGTGTGTTTTCTAAAAACCAGTTTCTTGAGATGATGTTGAATCAAATAAGTGTGGAAAACATATGATGTCCCTTTCCTGATCATTTGTAGTGTTTGTTATTTTCCCCTCTTTGTGTGTATGTGTGCAGTGCATGTGTGCACATGTGTTAATAACATTAGCTAGCATTTCTTGATGCTTTAAGGGACATTGTAGGAAATGCTGGGTTGTGGTTGCAGTAAAAGTATAAGGAGTGGCAGTCACTAGTAGGACAGATCGTCTCTGTTTAAGAAGTTTACAAGTAAATATTGTCCATGTTTTGATAATGTCTGAGATGATAAAGAATTGCTATTCTAAAAATTAATTTGTTTTATGTTAGTGGAAACATCAAGAGTAGAAAATTGAAAAGGTGTGTGCTTGTCCATTTAAATTACATGTCATAGCTTATTTAAGGCTTATTCACATATTTCAACTGGTGGTAAAATTGATGGGATAATGGAAGTATTAGAAGCTGAATTAATGATCCCAAACTATTTAGTAATTCATTTTGTAGAATTAAGGTGATAACTAATAACAACTTGACTTGTGTTACAAAGTTGAAATTATACCTAACCTTTTCAGGAGTACATTGTGAAGTAAGAAATGTCTGTGTTAACATTTGTTTTCTAGATTTCACAGATGGTAAAGCTCTTTGGATTATTTTCCATTTTATTCCTTTTTTTTTGTTTTTCTTGTTTTTTTTTTTATTTTTTCTCCCTTTTCTCTCCAAAGTTAGAATGTGATCTTGAGGATATGATAGTATCTTTGGAATGTACTATCTAAACCAAACATGTCTCTTGGTCAGATTTTCTTTTCCTTTTGTAAAAGGTCCTGGAGATGCCTAGTAGAGGAGTTGGTAAGAGTTAAGTTGTAGAGAGAGCAGCTGGATCCCCATGTGCTGGAATGCAGAAAGTATCTAGAGACCTACCCCAGTCTTTTTATACTACATTTCAGTCTTTATCCAACTGTTGCCCAACTGTTTGGTTCTTATGAGTTTAAATTGTTTTCTCTCCACAGAACCAGGTGACGGACACTAATAGGAGACTGCAACACGAGGGCAAGGAAGTAAGGCCAGTTTACCTTCAACAAAGTCTTTTCTGTTTTGTGCTTTGTGCTGTTCTCTTTGGATGGCTGTTCTTCACTTTGGGGGTTACAGAATATGAGCAGTGTGTTGGAAGTACTTGGGTGCAATTGTTACTTCTTGTAATGTTTACCTGAATAAAATGAATACAGTCACTACAGGGTGCAATGAAATAAGATGCAGCCCATCTTGGTTGTGTTTAAAAAAATCATTTTTTTCCTGCTGGAAAGTTCCTCCTCCATCTTCACCTGGCTCAGACCTCCACACTTGTGGTTCTTCCATTTTCAGTCAAGGTCTCAGGTAGCCTAAGCCTGTTTTGAACTGATCCTTCTGCCTCAACTTTCCCAATGTTGTGTTTATTGGGAGTATGCTGCCATACTTGGCTAATATTACTCCTCCCTCCCTCCCTCCCTCCCTCCTTCCCTCTCCCTCCCTCTCTCTCTTTCATAGTGATTTTACTTGTTTTATGTCTGATTATATACCAAATATCTGGATTTTTTTTTGAACAAGGTATTACTTTGCAGCCTAGAACTCATGAACTTATAACAGTCTTCCCTTCTCACTCAGTCTTCAGAGTCCCGGGGTTACAGGCACGTGTACTCCACCCAGTTTATATATTACTGAATAGGATTTTTCCTGAGGACCTTGTTGGAAATTGCAGTCTTACCCTTATTCTCTGCATTCTTTTTGGTTTTTCTCATTTTGTCTTTCTCCACTGTGCTACTGTATTTTTGGTACATATCTTTTACTTATGTAGTTGTTTTTGTTTGTCTCCCTCCATTAGAATTAGCTCCACTTTATGAAAGGGTTTCTTGTTTTATTCACTGTTGCCACTCTACTGTCTTTCTAAACAATAAAGTGAGTGCTCAACAAATACTTCTTTAAAAAAAACCATAATCAATTCTGTTAATTGGCAAACTCATTATTTAAGCTTTTACAATTTGCATTTATAGTTTACATCCATTTATTTACTTAATCCAAAACCAGTACCAGTACTTCCCCTATTTTATTGATGGGGAAACAAAAGCAGATGATTTGCAATTTTATAATAATCGACAAGGCTGAGGTCAAAGACAGTCTTTTCTGACCTGCAGTACGTTCCTCTTTCATGTTATTCACCTTCATTCTCTTTATGCTTTTCACATATTTAAGGAATATAATTTTTAGGTGTGTGTGTGATGGATCCTGAAAGCAGATGAGATTGTTTTTTATTTCAAACAGCCCATATTCTACAGACATAGTTTGTTACATTTTGAGATGATTGTGGGAAGAGAGTAAATTAATCTCCAGTAAATCAGATGTTGTACAAGATTGTATCTTTTATGTGGGGAGCTTGTTTGTTAAAATGGGACCTCTTGAAGAAAAGAACTGCCTTCTCTAGGAGCCCAGTGGGCACAAGGAAATGTAAATCATGGAGTTTGGTAGGGTTTGGAGAAAATGGGCAAATTTCCTGGCTCCCCATAGCTTTTGTGCTTTAGGGTTCATTTTAAATAGCCGTTTTTAGACATATGTAGTGCGGTGAGAAAGCAGGAAGCTATCTATGTAGGAACTGTTCACTGATCGGGGAAGGCGGTTCTTAGCTTGTTTGGTAGGTCTTACTAGGAAACTGGAATTCTTGGATGAATTGAATGCAGAGTGGGAAAATGTGACTGAAAACTTTTTATTTACAGTTCTTGGCATAATTCTGTTTCCCCCTTTTGCCAAGCTGGTGATAGCAATGGAAGAGCTGAAGCAGTGCCGGCTGCAACAGAGGAACATTTCTGCCACTGTCGATAAGCTGATGCTGTGTTTGCCAGGTGAGGAACTGGGAATGCAGTGTGAGTCTCCATGTAATTCCTTTAGCTGAGTTAGTTGTCTATTTTGTTTAAATGACACCTGTGACATCTGTTTTCTCTTTCAAGTCCTAGAGATGTACAGCAAACTGAGGGACCAGATGAAAACCAAAAGGTAAGATTTTTCAATTGAGCAGACTCTATTACCAAAATTTTCTTTTACAATACTTAAAAAGGAGATTTATTTTATTATTTATTTATGTATCTGTGTGTGTACGTCTCTGTTTTTGCTACATGTGTGTGGATACCCACACAGGCCAGAAGAGGGCATTGGATACCCTGGAGCTGTAGTTTCAGGCATTTATGTGCTGTCTGATGTAGGTGCCGGGTTCTGAACTTGGACAAGTACTCTCAACAACTGTACTGTCTCTCTAGCGCCCTCCTTGTGTCAGGTTTGAAGAGTATAGGCCTGTTATTTTATTGCTTTTTTTCTCTGTTGGAGATAAAAGATTGTCAGTATGCATGGCTTGAGTTTGCTGTTTTTTTTTTTTTTTAAAAGGTCATGTGTACAATCTGAGCTTTAGTTGAGCTCTTTAGATCTTCAATGCCTGGCGCAGTTATCTGTGTATGGCTTTTAGTAATTTATTTCCCATTTGTTCTCATTGTTACTTGATCTTTCTCTGTGTATGTGCTGTCCTTTCAATCAGTTATCTAGATTTTAGGAGTCTATCTTGTCTTCACTAGTGTCTTACAATCCACACCTCTATATTTCTTTGAAACAATTGCTTCTAAGCTTACAATTATCCTCTTTAACTTATAGTGGATCTTTAAATAGTTATGGCAAATCATGTATAAGCAGAATTTTTGTAGTAGTAGTGTATTCAAATTGAAATGATTATAGATTTAATTATTACCTGTTGTATACACTAAATTATCTCACTGTACCACACATATTTAATTATTCATCAATTAAAAATTTAAAACTATACTTTTGTTTTACCATCCATTCCTTGGTGTTATTGTTGTAATTACTCTTATATCAGAATATGATGTGCCTATAGTACAGTTTCATTTTTGCTATAAACTATTACATAAAATGTTTTAAAGTAAGATTAAAAAATTCACCATTTATTTATATATTTTAAGAAATTCTGACACTTTGATTTGTTTATATAGATCCAAATTCTTTACTATCTCTTTTTGGATTAGAATGATAGCTGTGAATTCTCTCAGAAATATGGTGTTTCTGAAATAGTTTATGTAAATAATTGTTGTTTTTCCTATACCATCACATCCACCATTTTATGTGTACAGCTTAGTGTTGTCTTCAGACATTTACAAGGTTATGTCAGTTTCCTCACCACTCCCCTGCAGAGCATGTCAGTTACCTAGAAAAGAAACCTCTCCCATCAATCTTTGCCTTAGTCTGCGAAGCCACCACTTCACTTTTATCTGTATGTGACTATCTCAAATAAATGGGGCCACACAGATTGTGGCCTTTTATGTTTCACTTCTCCCTTTTACAGTGTTTCTAGGATTCAGCCATGCTTTGGTGTGAGACAGTACTTCACTCTTTTTTGTGGGGGTGCTCTTCCACTGTGTAGATAGACTACATTTTATTTTTCATCATTTGATGAACATTGGGGCTATTTTCACTTTTTAAGTATGATGACTAAAGCTATGGATACTTGTAAGTTTTTCAGTGGAAGTGTACTCATTAAGTTCTCTTGGGAATCTTCCTCTGAGTGGAATTGCTGGCTCATGCTAGAGTCTGTGCTCTGCTGTTCTGAGAAACTGGTTGACTACTTCTCAAAGCTGTTACATCTTTTATCTATCGGACACCATCTTATGATAGTCAGTGCTTATTATTATTTAAAAAGTTTAGATTTATTCATTTATTTATTTTGCTTTATAATATTTAATATTTTGCTTGCATGTGTGTTTGTATACCAAAGATATGCCTGGTGCTCATGAAGGTCAGAAGAGGGCTTTCAATCCACAGGAACTGGAGTTATTTAAAAAAAATTTTTTGGGGGATTCTGGAGAGTTGGGTAGAGTTCTGTTTCACAAATCTGAGTTCCATACCTAGAATTCATGTAAAGGGAGGAGAGACTCCCCAAAAGTGTTCTCTGACCTCCACACATGCACTGTGGTACGTACCTCTGCTACATCTACATATCTATAGTAAGAAATTAAATACAAAAAAACATTTTTTAAAAAAAGACAGGATCTCACAATGTATTTCAAATGGACTTGAACTTATTATATATATAACTGAGGATGACCTTGAATTCCTTCAGAACCTCATACCTTTTCCTCCTGTGTGCTGTGTAGCTCCAGGCTTGGATTATGTTGCTGGGAATGGAATCCAGGGGCTTTGTACAGACTAGAAAAACACCATATCCCCTGAGTTGCAGTGACCACAGCCCTCCCTTGGTTTTTGATATTTCCTCTTGTAGTTACTTTGTATTTTCCCTTTAAGTACATACACATGGATCTCATTGCCATTTTCATAAATTTCCTAGTTTGCCACTTCTTGGATCTACTTTTGAAGAATAATTTTATTTTTTTGGTTATAGGTCAAAAAGAATTTTTGACTGGATAATGGACATTATGATATGTTGATGAGTGTCTGGATTTGGGGGAACCTTTTTTTTTTTTTAAGTGTTGTGGTTTATTCTGGGAAGTAATGATTTGCAGATCTGATACCCCCAGACTCACCCCCAGTTTAAGGCTTTGCTAGGGTCAGCTGTGATAGCTTATACCTATAAGCACTCAGGAAGCTGAGGCAGGTGGATCTTTGTGAGTTTGAGGCTAGTCTTATCTCTATAGTGAGTTCCAGGCCAGCTGGGGATGCACAGTGAGACATTCTGACAACAACAACAACAACAAAGACCCCCCAAAACAACAACAACAACAACAAAGACCCCCCAAAACCCCAAAGCTCTGCCCGGCCAAGCACAGCCAGATTTACAGAATATTTACTCTGGTCTGGATGGCTCAGTGGTGCCTATGAACCTTGCCATTTGGCTGTTTAGGGTTAGGTCATTTCTCTGCCTTTTCTGACCTCCTTAGGTGTTCATCTCATTCCTCCTGGCAGTCTGTCCTCTTCTCCTCTCTTTCCCCCACGTCTCTCTTCTATTGCTTCTCTCTGTACTCAGCAAAGACTCCAGGCAAGTCCTGTGCAGGTTTCCCCTCCCTCTCTTCCTTTCTCACTACTACCTTTTTGATCTACTATTTGATGCCTTAAGTCAGCAAATCTTTGGGTTCTGTGAGACTTTTCCCTGACTGTGTCCATGGTGTAGAGATCACCTTCAGGTAGATAGCTCATCTTGTTTGTTTTCTTCTTTGGATTTCACAGTTATCTGCTTCGTGCTGTTTGATTGCTGAAAACAGTTTTTAGGTGTTAGACTTGTTTATAAAGTGTTTGCGTCATGTCTGTTTCTTGTTAAGCTTTCATAGCTGGAGGTCTGGTTATTCGTTTTTCAGCTGTAAATATTATTTATACTTTTGAGTTTTATGTTTCCTGAAGTGTCCCTATCACATATCTTTGTTAATAATCTTCTATTAGGAAAGGAACTACTATCTTTCTGTGGCAAAAGCTTATATTTCATATTTTATTGTTATGAATGAGAGGAAAATATTTATAGGTAACTGTAATTCACTTTCAGGAACCTCTTAGTAGAATTAAAAAAAAATCTTGAAAGAGTTCTTCTTAGAATAGCATTCAACTGCTTTATTAGAAACTTTTCTAGAGCAGCTGTTATCAAGCTGTGAGTTGCCACCCTTTTGGGGTCAAACAACCCTTTCACAGAGGTCATCTGAGACCATTGGAAACAGATATTTACATTATGATTCATAACAGTAGTGAAATTACAGTTACGAAGTAGCAGTGAAAATAATTTTATGGTTGGGGTGACCACAACATGAGGGTCACAGCATTAGGAAGGTTGAGAACCCCTGTCCTAGAGGGAAAGAGGAGAGTAAGCACAATGCAAAGGAAGTGGAGGCTTATTCTTATTTTTTTTAAGGACAAGGTTTTTACTATGCAGCTTTGGCTAACTTCAAACATTCTGTGATCCTACTTACTACCTTTGTCACCTGATTAAAGGTATGTGTTACCACACTTGGCCTCATTAGTTAATTTATTTTTATATTTTTTAAGATTTAATTAAATTTTTTTTGATTTTGTGTGTATGTGTGTATGTGGTATGTGTATATGTTAATGCATTTGAGTATTGGTACCACCTAGAAGAGGGTACCAGATCCCCTGGAACTGGAGTTATATGTGGTTGTGAGCTGCCTGATATAGGTGCTGGGATCCAAAGTGCTCTTTTTTGTTTGTATGTTTGAGACAGGGTTTCTCTGTGTAGCCCTGGCTGTCCTGGAACTCACTCTGTAGACCAGGCTGGCCTCGAACTCAGAAATCCGCCTGCCTCTGCCTCTCAAGTGCTGGGATTAAAGGTGTGTGCCACCACTGCCTTTGTCCAAAGTGCTCTAACAGTGATTCATCTCCAGTCCCCAGTTGTTTTGAATGACTGTTTTATTTGTATACATTACCATATGTGGTATATATACTTGTCAGTGTGGGTGTGTATACATGTTTGCAGATGTATGAGTGCTTGTGGTAGCCAAAAATTGTGTGTGTGTGTGTTTTTTTAAATCACATCACTCTCTACCTTTATTTTTTGAGACAAGATCTGCCAGTGAACTTCAGAACTTGTTTGTACCTCACAGAACTGAGGTTATAGGCATATCCACCATGCTGGGCTTTTTATGTGGATAGGGATCCAAATTCAGGTCCTTATGCCTGTGCAGTATTATTTACTGCTAAGCCATCTCTACATCCTGCATTCAGTTTTTTAAAATCTTTATTTAATGTGTATGTATTTGAATGCATATATGTGCACCCTGAAAGTAGAGTTACAGATAGTTGTGAACTACCATGTGGGTGCTGGGAACAGAACATGGGCCCTCTGCAAGAAGAGTAAGCATTCCTAACTTCTGAGCCACCTCTCCAACCCTTTGCATGCAGTTTTAATAATGTATAGGTTGACAAAAGTAATGCCAACATCCTGTATGAGATTTCCATGGATTCTGTAAATGAGATTTTTTTTTTGTGTATATGTGTTAAATATTTAATTGGCTCCCATTAGTTAGTTGTTTGTCTGTGATATCAAACACTTTAGAAATTTGAATAATCTCACTGATCTGTTATGTTTAGAACATAAGCTTGCTCGGGGGAAAAGGGACAATGGGCAATAAGGTATTGTTATTTGTTGCCAGGAATCACTGGGCTTTGTATTAAATAGCCTTGAAAAATGTGGTTCTATTTGACAGAGCAGATGTTTTCATCATGGGATGCATGTCTGCAGGCAGCATAGCTGAATTCTTCTTATTCTGTAAACAGAATTCTTAAATAGAACTAAACCCTAGGATGTATTTATCTTGGTGGTTCAATTTCTATTACACGCAGTTCTTGGTACCTAAGTTGAGTCATTGCTATTCTGCATATGCTAAATCATGTAAAATTATAGTGTTTTAGAGTCAAAAATTTTAATGAAAACAACTATTTCAGATTTATCTATATTTGTACTTTTATTTCTAAGTTAAAGGTGAACAAACTTCTGTTTTCTCTATCTATTTGGACTAAGAATTTAATTCTTACAACCTACGATGAGAAAGGACCAAAAAAAAAAAAACCAAACAAACCAAAACAACAACAAAAAAACCCCACCAAAACCCAACCAAACAAAAAAAGAAACAAACAAGTTTGTGGTCTTGGTGTTTGTCTTTTAGTGTGTTGAGGCAAGAAGAGCTGAAGTGTCTTCTGTGAAGAGACTGTGCCCAAACTAGACCTGTATATCTGTTTCATCTATGGAAGGAATGAGTTTTCCCTTTCTAGATAAATTAGGGAATTTTAAAGCCTAAAGAGGAAAATTATGAATATTTTGCTGTCTAAAGAAAAAAAAAACACTATATGATTCTTACTTTTTTGTTTGTTCATAATTATTTATTTCAACTTTTTTGTCTATGACTTGTATGTGGTACTAGATATCTATGACTTATGGATCAATTATGCATGTTTACATAGATATACTTTTTTTTGAAGACAGAGTCTGACCTGTAGCTTACTATGTAGTGTAGGCCTTGAATTTATGGTGAACCTCCTGCTTCAGCCTCTTCAGTGCAGTGATTACAGGCAAGAGCCACTGTGTCTGGCTTTACAAATACTATAATTGTATTTATAAGGTCTTTCTGGTTTTTAAATTAGTACAACATCTGGGAAACATTGCAGTATCGGGATCATTCATGAAAAGGATAAATCAAAATCCCATCTCAGCTCTTTCCTCTAAAAACCTATTTAGCACATCGTTCAGAGGTAGAGGATGCATGAACCAGACACAAAATTAAAGAGAACCAATACCATCTTTGATCTTAGGCAAAAGCCTGAGAAATGCTCATTTATTTGTTTTTTAAAAATGTTTTATATTCAATAATATTGTAAATATTTTAGTCAGCTTATTGATATTTTATTACATGGATGTATCATAATACCTATTTACCTGTATTTAATACCTGTTTTACTTTAATTAGTCTACAATTCAAGAGGCTTATATAGTTTTAACAATTAAACTTCTTTTGAAGTCATGCAGGCAGAAAAAAAAAGAACTAAAACTACTGGAGACAAACAAATGTAAGCAAACCACTTCAAAGTATAGTTGTGGGTAAGGACCTCTTTAACAAGATTTCAGAACTCAGGAAACAATTGCAAGAATTCACAAATAGGACTACCAAAAATTAAAAATAAAAACCCAAAAAACTTCTGTATAGGAAAAATAAGCAAACAGCAGAATAAAGAGATAACCATGGAATATAACAGAATCCTTGCCAACTGTACATTGGATAGGTGATTAATATCTAGATGCTATAAAGAACTAAAAAAAATAAACACCAAATAAACAAATCATCTAGTTAGTAAATAGGAAAATGAACCAGATAGACAGTTCTTCAAAAAGGAAAACAAAGTGTCTAAAAATATGTGAAAAGGATGATCAACAACTTTAGCCACAAGGAAAATGTAAACTAAACCTATACTGAGATTCTGTCCCTGGGGGCGAGTGAGATGCTCCTTGGGTAAAGGTGCCTGTCAGACAGGATTGCTGTCTCTGACCCCCACATGTGCCTGTAACTGTGCTCTCCCCACATAAGCAAAAAAAAAAAAAAAGTTTTAAAACAACAGAAACAAAATAAATAAAAAGAAATCCTATCTCTGTCTTACTCTAGTCAGAGTAGCAATTATCCAAAAAAAGTAAGGAAGGAAGGGAGGGGGAGGGAGGGTGGGAGGGAAGGAGAGAAAGAGAGAGAGAGAGAGAAAGAGAGAGAGAGAGAGAGAGACAGACAAAAAATGCTGGTGATGTGGGAAGGGATGTATATGAAGTAAAGACCCTCGTGAAGATATAGGCACTGTGAAAAACAGTTTAAAGATTCCTCAAAAAGCTAACTATATAATAGAACTATCACATCAAGCTATATCTTTCCTGGGTATATACCTGAAGGATGCCAAATCAGCACTCCACAGAGTGAACCATACCACAGCACACCACATCATGTTCATCTATGTACTTAATCGTGATAGCCCAGGTATGAAACAAACATAGGTGCCTATTGACAGATGAATGGATAAAGAAAATATGGTTAATATACACAATTCGCCCATAAAGAAAAATGAAATTAGGACATTTGTTGGAGAATGGATCATGGAGAGATCATTATGTTAGATTAAATAAGTTAGACTTAGACAAATATTGCATGCTTTCTCTCATGTACAAGCTAGCTTGAAATTTAAATATATGTATGGATAAGGTATAATGACATATGTAAGTTCCATAAACCCTCTTATTTTGTATTCTACATTAAAATGCAAGAATAAATCTAGATTCTAGAAATATTTTATATACTAATTTGTATATTTGACATTGTAATAGGAGATGACCAAAGGAGGAGGAAGGTATGAAAATAGGGAGGAGGAAAAAACAAAAGGATGATGAGGAAATTGAATGCAAGCAAGTCTTATTTTCTTTTACTTGCAGAAACTAGATTTACCTGTGCACATTAGCATCCTTCCTTGTACAAATGCCATGAAAGCCAAAGGAGTCTGAAGTGATTACTGAGAGGGAAGGAGGAAGGGGTCCTGGGGAGTAAAATTGAGCAAGATGCAATGATATATGTGAGAAAGCTTTTCTTATAAACCTGTTTTTTACACTAAGACATCAATAAAAAGAAATTCAAAATACTGATTTTAGTTACTTGAGGTTATTCTGTAGTTTATCATCCTTCTTTCACTTTTAGCCTATTGTGTCTTTCAATCTAAAGCATATTTCTTGTAGATTAAATATGATTGTGCTTTTTAAAATTCTCCTTTATGATGTTTGCTTTTTAGTTGGAATTTATAGTCCTTTCATACTTAATATAATTAGGGTTGGATTTTTCTGTTTCATAGTTTTCCCAGTCTCCTTGGTTTCTGTTCCTCCTTTCTCCTTTTTTTTGTTTTAAATATATTGGAGCATATGCTTTTATTTTTTATTGATTTTGAAAATATTAAAACATCTTTTAGATTCATTTACTTTATGTGTTTGAATGTGTTGCCTGCATGTATGTATATGCACCATGTGTGTACAGTACCTGAGGTGGCCAAGAGAGGGTGCTATATCCCCCAGAACTGGAGTTATAGATGGTTGTGAGTTGCTATGTGGTTGCTGGGACCTGAACCCCAGTACACTGCAAGAGCTTAACCACTGATCCATCTTTCCAGTCTCTTTAAACATATTCTTTGATTTGCTTTCTTGGAGTTTGCTATATGAACACTTATGTGCGTCTCAGTTTATTACAGCTTCCTTTAAAGCCTTTGCCTATTCAAATTTGATACACATTTACTGCTAGCTTTGTTTCAGGAGCTCAGTTTTCTTTCTTCTTGTTTACTGTTACATATTTATGATTTCCATATATTTTATGAGCCCATATACCATTAAATTACTATTTTAAAACATTTTTTATAAAGAAGTTAAAGACATTTAATTTCTTAAAATTAATTTTTTTTTCATTTTAGCACATATTTACTTACTTTACCACTTTATATATTTTCCATCATTTGCTCCAAATATGTCCTGTCTTAATACCAATGCTGTTTTTTTTTCACAAGACACGCTTCTCAGGGGAACTGCAGGTAAGGTAATGGAAGTACCCTGGACAAGGCTGGTAGCAGTACTTCTGTGGAACAGTTTCATTGATTTCCCTGCAATTCTGTTTTGGGTTAATTTGGATACTTTTGTCATATATATGTGCATGTGAACACAACACACACCAACACATGCACATGATTATTTCAAGTTCTCTTTACCTTCATTAGAAGTCTTCTTGGAGTATTTTATTTTGTAGAATGGTCTTTTGACATTGAGATTATTTTAAAAATTGTATATGATTAATTTTATTGGTATTTGTGATTCATGATTATTTGTTTTTTGGATGTCTTGATTTTATTTTATTAGTTTTTAAAACCTTAATTTTTAATATTTAAGAAAGTTTTATTAAAACACTACTCTGGATTTGTCTTAATGTACAATGAAGGCTAATTGAGGTTAGATTTTTTTTTTCTCAAGTAATGTATTTGTCCATGTAAGAAAGACTGAGGTGGTTGATTTCTTTTGTAGGCATTATCCTGCACTGAAGACACTGGAACATCTGGAACACACCTATCTGCCTCAAGTGAGCCACTATAGATTCTGTAAGGTGATGGTGGACAACATCCCCAAGCTTCGTGAAGAAATAAAGGATGTTTCTATGTCTGACCTCAAAGACTTTCTGGAGAGCATCCGCAAGCATTCAGACAAAATTGGAGAGACTGCCATGAAGCAAGTAGGTCCTTGGTTTGTGACAGGTTGGCCTGTTGGCTCTGCAAATATTTGATTATGCACAGATTTCTCCTTGGCAAGTGTGTTAATTACTTATCTCATGTTAGGAAGGTCCTTTCATAAATGAAAATGTTATTAACTTAACAGAGTGACAAGCTGTGTTGTTCACTCTGTGACTGTTGAGTGAACAGTGGCTGGTGGTGATGGTTTGTGTCAGAGACTTGACAGAATTCAGCTTGGCTTTGTATAGTATTTAAAGTCCAAAGTCTTTTAATGCTTCTCTTCTAGTAAACAACATGAATTGTGTTGCATGTACCTTTGGTTGATTACTGTTAGGAAGGTGGCTTGTCATGCATAAATATTTCTGATATTGATGGCTGTTAGTGACAGAAAGGTCTGTTGTGGACTGTTGGTTATGATTGCAGAAAGGGATATATGTAGAGCACATACATTCATCAAATGCATGATGAATATTTATTTTCTTTAAATATCTCCAAGTCTGTAACATCATGAGGAGTGCCTTTTGTCACTGCAACTGAAAGATAGTAATGATTTGCAGTAACATTTCCTCTTGAAATTGAAGTCACATTGATGTTACAAAGATGCTTTAGCGTATTTGATGATGTAGCCTACCATATAGATTTTTAATTATTTATGGAAAGTGTTTATGGTTTTGTAAACAAGTGTTTTCAAATATTTTTCTATTATATTTGGGGAATAAGGCAAAGCAGATCACATCTGGAAGCCTTACTTTAGGGCTCAGCTAGTATTAATAGGCGTAGTTCAGACGTCTGTTTGATACAGCAGAAGAGATCTGCCAATTATTTTTTATAAGACAGTTTTTAAAATCTCCTTTTAAATTTTATTGGTGTAATACTTTAAAATGTGACAAGTGTAGGCTGCAGCTCTTCTGGTCTCAGCTCTTGCATGCTGTGACTCCAGGTGTGTGCCACCAGTTCTTAGTGCTGGACCTGAAAGCTGACTTTCTAAAGATTGCTTTCTCCAGGCCTTGGCTGGATGAATTTATTTGCCTTTGCTAAAAGAGAGTTTTGTTATGAATATTATCACTTCGTTTACTTTGAGATTAGCTGATCTTATTCCTTAAGTATTTGAAGAAATGAATGCCCAGGGAAGGGAAGAGACTTGCTCAAATGCAAGCGTGAAGGTCAGACCCTGTAATAGAATTCAGATCAAGTTGGAATGGATATGTTAACCATGGCACTCAGTCTTTTTAAACTGTTAGCTAGTTTATTTTTATTCCACAAAGAAATACTGAAGAAATCTTTTTATGAATTCATTACTTTAAATATTAAAAATCTTCATATTGGAAATGGACTTAGTGCATGAATTGCTATCTTGTGCATGCTTGCGTGCATGCATTCGTAAGGTTGTTGTTTGCTTTGTGTTTTGAGACAAAGTCCTCACTAATATAGTCCTAGCTGTCCTGGTACTTGGTATATAGAGCAGTCTGGCCTCAAATTCAGAGATGCAAGCCTTCCTAGTGCTTGGATGAAAGGTGTGTGCCACCATGATCAGCTCTGTATGTTTTTTTTTAAATTAAAATACAAATAGTTGGTTCCTTATAGGTATCTTCTTATATGTGTTATTATCCTCTGTTCTCATCTGTGCCCTTTCCGACTGTCATTCTCTGTACTCCCTCCTTTGTCTAGCTTATTTCTGTCCCCCATCTCAGTCAGTCCTCCCTTGAATTTTATTCTGCTCATTTTTTTTTTTTTGATACTCTTCTTGCCTACTTCCTGGGCTAAAGTAATGTGTGTATTTTATAGTCATATGTTGTAACTTGAAATGATTTTTAAAAGAAATGCCTAAAGTACTTCTCTGCTAATTTTCTACTAGTTTCATTTTGAAACTGATTTCTGGAACTTTTGTTATGGAATTGATTTGTGTGCTTGTGTGTGTGTGTGTCATTTCTATATTTCTGATTTTGATTTCCTTGCCTTAGGCTTTGTAGGCCTGAATGAAATTTGTGAGTAAACATTTTTTTTGCTAGGTTGATTTCAATTGTGAGGCCCTTTAACTGAGAGAAGGATTTACTTACCTTTTAAATTCTATCTTGTCTCTGTCAAATTATAGGGTTGTATAACTGATGCTAAGAAAAGAAGCTATCCTCTGCTTCTATTTAGTGTTTTTATGGGATTCCTGAGTGTGTGAATGAGTGGTTCTCTGATTCTGATGACTTTTCTTGGGCTCCTTTCTATTTGTTTTGTTCAATTTCAATGTGTTAGATTTTGTTTTATTTTATTGTATTATTAAAAAAGAAAAAAATATACACACATGAAAGGAATCTAAATAGAGTCAACAAATAATGGGGAGATAGTGCCTCAACTGAACATTTTATGTCACCAACTGAAATCTCCAGTTCCAGGAATGGGTTACATCCAGTTGAGTCATTGGCTAAAGGGGCTCCATGGAAACCCCCAACCATCTTACCCTACTGCCCAGACAATTGGTTGCTTTCCCCAAACTGGTGGTAAGGCCCTATTTCTGAAGTTAACACTTATGTATCTCATAGAGCACGGAGAAGTCAAGCTTGTGCTTAGAGGCTTTACCTGCACTAACTATTGTTCATATACTAAGTGGTAGGTTGTATTCTACTAGAGGAAAAAGGTAATCAACCAACTCTGCTATAAACCCTACTGCCTACAACAATGGCCTTTCTGCAAGATATCATGGTGTAATAGTGGTACAAATGTGGGAGTAAAACAACCACCCTCTGATTTGATGTAATGTCCACTCCCTGAGATAGAACAAAGACTTAATACTACTTAGGTGGCCAATAACCTGAGATAGATGGATCATGGACTTAGGAGGAAAACCAAATAACATTACTTTGCTAAAAAAATACAACAACAAACTAACATCTAATGATATTCTACTTTGTTTAGCTATATTAGAGAAGCTTCTTGAATTAGAAAGGAACTAATACAGAGACCTACAATTGGACAATGTACAGAGTGAGAGACCTTGGAACCCATAGTCCTAAATGGGATATTTTTCTTAAACTCCTCCTCTCAAGGATCTGTGCAAAAGAGGAGGCAGAGAGATTGTAAGAGCAAGACATGTTGTATAGCTCAAAGGAAACAGTGTTTCCCAGACCTGTGCTTACTGCTATAGTCCTTGTGCATTCGTATGTGTATCAGTTCTGTTGTGTACTTTTCAATTGCTACTTACTTGCAAAAGAAACATTACTTTTCTCCAGTGGAGTTTCATTAGGCATATTAACCATACTTTAGGGTAGGCCTCATTTTTAGTTGGGCAACACAAAATGGACTCAGTGATATTTTTGGAGACTTTTTATCTCATATTTCTTTGGACAATATTTGCCTCATTTGATCCTTTGCTTGTTTTTATTATTTTTTTAATTTTTTTTCTATTTTTTGTGTTTCTGTGGCAGGTGTGTGTGTGTGTGTGTGTGTGTGTGTATGTGTGTATGTGTGTGTGTGTGTGTGTGTGTGTTTTAAAGAAAGAAAAAGGGCCTGGAGTTGGGTAGTGAGGAGTTGGGGAGGGTGTGTGAGGAGTTGGAGGAGGGTATCAGATTATATTATATGGAATTTTTCCAATAAAAATGGAAAAAAAAAGAAAAGGACCTGGTGGCCTGTACAAAAGAAGGTACTTAGGGATTTTTTTATAGAGTTAAAGAACAAATTTTAAAGATTTATTTACTTTATGTATATGTGTATACTCTTCAGACACACTAGATAGGGCGTCAGACCCCATTACAGATGGCTGTGAACCACCATGTGGTTGCTGTGAGTTCAACTCAGGACCTCTGGAAGAGCAGTCAGTGCTCTTAACCACTGAGCTATCTCTCCAGTCCCAGGATTTTTTAAAAAATAAATTTTGAAAATTGCTTTTATTGGGGTACATTAATTATACGTAACAATGAGTTTCATTATGACATTTCCATACATGCATAAAGTGAGTTGATTGTATTTAGTTCCCTGTACTCGCTCTTGTCACCTCCCATTCTCATTAATTTTCCTCCTTTCCTCAGCTACTCTACCTTCTACTTGGATATTCATTAGACTTCTTTACAAGCTCATGAACACCTTACTAGAGGTTATATCCCAGAAGAGAATATCTTTCCTTCCCCTGGCAACCATTAGCTGCCTATAGGACCTCAGGGAGGGCTGGGCCTTTGAGTCTGACCCTTTAGTAACTTTTTCCAGAATTGACCTTGGGAGAGGATTAATGGTCACCATGGTTCTTTCAACCTTTGACTTTTTGGGCTAAGTTTTGACTATAACAAAATGAGCCTTTGATTTATTGTATAGACCATCTTCAGGTTTAGTTCTGGCACAGTACTTCTGAGTTCATACAGGCCGTGTAATGGCCATCATGCCTGTATTGTTGAAACATTCTTTGTGCTGGATTCTAAGCAGAACATACACAGAGCCAAAGAAATGGGTCAAGTGTTCTTAGACCTTCTATTCATCAAGAATAGATACTTACGATACTTAAGACTTTGGCATATAATTTTGGAATGGTAAGATATTTAAAAGTAAATAAATTTTCCTCTCAGTTAAAAAGCCTCCCCGGGCAGTGGTGGCACACGCCTTTAATCCGAGCACTTGGGAGGCAGAGGCAGGCAGATTTCTGAGTTCGAGGCTAGCCTGGTCTACAGAGTGTGTTCCAGGACAGCCAGGGCTACACAGAGAAACCCTGTCTCGAAACCCCTCCCCCACCCCCAAAAAAGAAGAGTAGGACAGACTAAAAATAAAAAGCCTCCCAACTGAAATTAACCTGGCCAAGATTGTTTATCTCACAAAGCACATGGTTTGGTACTTATCTAATGATGTGTTTCTTTTTAAAAAATAAATATTATATACTGTGTGTGTCAGATAAAGGAGAGATAATTTTAAAATTCATCAGTCAGTCAAGCCATTTGAGGATTCCAAGTGTGATTAGCCATTACAATAAACAGTGTGGGGCTGGAGAGACATATCTATTAGTAAAGTACCTGCAAACAGATGTGAAGACTTG